TTTCTAGGCAGTTTCCAACATCCATCTTATTTCCCACTTCTCTACTCTCTTGTAAAAAGTATATGTATGTGTGTATATATATATATATATATATATATATATATATATATATATATATATTTAGATATATAAACTTGATGTTTTGTCCCAATACCAAAGCAGTAGGTTCTTTTGCTGTAGCAATTAATCACCTCCCTGTATTTAAATCCAAAAATTCGAGTGGAGGAATTTTCCAGTAACATCTCCCTCTTCTCTTCCCTTTCCAAGTCTTAGATCTTTTCATGTCCTTAACGTTTTTCCAAACTTTTTACAGAACGTTAGTGTGAAATGTTTAAAAAATTAAAAAGTGTAATACGGGAAAACAGAATAGATAGAGGGATATCACTATAAACATGTCTTCACTTGAATTCTCAAGTTGACTATGATGTGTGTGAGAGAGTGTATGTGTGATGTTCTTTCAGAAACCAGAAGCATATTGCTTTAGTAACAGGACTCCACAGAAAGTGTAAAGAATTTAAAAGAGAAAGGGAGCTATGGGAGAGGGGTAGAGGCAAAAAAGGTGTGGTTGAGAGTTTGAGTGATGGTGATAGAAGAAGATGACATTTTATTTTTCTCCCATTGCCCCCCAAGTGACATTGAAGCTTCATTTCTTGCCAAAAAGGAGGAGGAGAAGGACGAGGAGGAAGAAAGAAAGAAAAAAAGAAAGAAAGAAAGAAAGAAAGAGTAAGCAAGCAAGTAAGTAGTTAGGTAGGCAATGTTTTGGATCAGGAAGTGGCAAGAAGAGAGAAAAATGTAACATGAGAATGTTTTGAACAAAATCAGAAAAAAAAACCTACTAGTATGGAGGAGCCCAAAGTTATGATGGTCATAGGTTTACATTGCTTCAAAATAAGTGAACAATTTGAAACATAGCTATATCAACAGTTAGTAGCCATATTTTCTAAAATAAAATGATTCTATGTTAGATGAAGTTGTAGTTGTGTGCTTTCAAGTCATTTCTGACTTATGGAGAATTTCTTGGCAAGATTTGTTCAGAGGGGGGTTGTCTTTTCCTTCTCAAGGTCAGCCAGTGGGCTTCCATGACTGAGCAGAGATTAGAACCCTGCTCTGCAGAGTCAGTCCAATGCTCAAAGTGCTACACTACATAGAAATCCCAGAAATCAGATGCCAGCTGTACCCTGGTTCTAGGTTTCCAAAAACCTAACTATAATTCAGGGACAGGCAACCTTTTTGAGACCTGGGCCGGTCTCCCGTAGCC